TCCCTCCCTGCCAGAATCATAGAATCCTAGGGCTGGAAGGGATTTCAGAGGTCATCTACTCCAACCCCGCCCGTCCAAGATACACCTTTCAGACCAATCTTGGCCCAATGGCTGTCCAGTCTCTTCTTGAAAATCTCCAGCGATGGATCCCCCACCACTTCTGGTGGCCAGCTGTCCCCCTGGTTAATTGTCCTCCCTCTTAGGAAGTTTCCTCCCGAATTCCAGGTTCCTTCTCTCCTGGATGAGCTTCCAGGCTTGTCCTGCCTTCAGGTCTTCCAGGGAACAGCTTAACCCGCCCCCCCAACTCCTCTTCGGGGCAAGGGGCCGGCAGGGAATCCCCGTCAGTCCCCCGAGGTCTCCTTCCCACCCCTCTCACCTCCTTGGACGTGATGTTCTCCAGGTCTTTCTGCATCATGATCTCCCTCAGTTTGGTCTTGATCAGCCGCTCCGTCCGCTCGCGCTCCGTGGGGCTGAAAGGAGGTTAAGCCACAAGGGGGGAATTCAGGCGGAGGGAATTGGACGCGGGCGAGGAAGGCAGGGGCGGGATTCAGACGGTTCCCGAGAACCGGAAGCGGATGCTTTTGAGAAGTCGGGAGGACCGGCCAATCCCCACCTCGGACTGGACCCGCCAACCCCCATCTCTCTTCTCTGCCTCCCGTGGAGTCCCAGCTGATCGTCTGGGTCTCCTTGGGTTGCCCTGCCTGGGAGAACGGAGCTGGAAAGCAGGTCAGAGGGGCGGGGAGGGAAATTCCCCCTGCCACACCCACCGAGCCACACCCAGAGAATGCCACACCCGGAGAATGCCACGCCCACCAAGCAATGCCCATAGCTGATCAGCTGGGTCTCCTTGGGTTGCCCTGCACGGGAGAATGGAGCTGGAAAGCAGGTCAGAGGGGTGGGGAGGGAAATTCCCCTGCCACACCCACCAAGCCACACCCACAGAATGCCACACCCACCAAGCCACACCCACAGAATGCCACGCCCACCAAGCCATGCCCACAACTGATCAGTAGAATCTCCTTTGGTTGCCCTGCACAGGAGAACAGAGCTGGAAAGCAGGTTAGTGGGGTGAGGAGGGAAACGAGGATTTTG